AACAGCTTGGACCGAAAGCCTTCACAGATCTGAGACTGGGCAAGAATTCTTTGTTGATATGCCGAAGAAAAATCACGTGCATCCCCGAACATCGAACCCTGACTGACCTGAATATTCCAGGAAGTGCGTCTTTCTTCCCGAACGAACGGAAGAAGGCACAAGTGTCATATAGTGCTGGGCTTTTTGGATTGAAATTTCAGGGAGGCAAATGCGCATTTTTTAGCAGGCTAACGGAATAGTCGCATAAACATGAATGCATTGGAATTTTCGAGTCACATTTTTGTATAAGCAAATCGATGGGAAGAGTGCATAAATGCGCCATGACACGGAGTCAGCATACATCAGTTATGAGGATGAGGTTGAACTACCAGCAGGGTTGTCCCAGTTGGACACAGCCTTAAATATATTTATGTATACTGTATACAGTGTGACCCCCACATGCGGACACCTCAACCTGCAGACAATTCGACATAGGGACACTTATTTTCTCATAAGAAATTAATAAAAAAAGGCCTATTAATTATGAGGACACTGACTCGACGTATAGGGACATTTTGTTATAAAATTGCAAATACATTTCAGGCCAAATTGCAAGAAACAGATATTTCCAACCCTAAAACTGATGTAAGAAAAGTTCTTGGGCATTTCTCTCACCAATTTACAATCCATTTAGCTAATTTAAAAAAATTACCTCAAGCAGAGAGGGACTTCCTTCTCTCTTTTTCTCTCATATATGATTTTTACAGAGAATACCAACATTTCTATGTACTGTACAGAGGTATCAGTATTAAATTCCCCAAATGCCCATATTGTGTTGACAATATTTTCTTGGAATTATGGTGAGCATTTTGTACGTAAAACACCAATTAAAAATTATATAATGTAAGTCTAAGGGTTGGTGAGAATTTTGTACGTAAAACACCAATTAATAATTATATAATGTAAGTCTAAGGGAAAATGAGACTCAACTTAGGGATATTTTGACTTAGGGACACTCTTGATGCACCGATTATGTCCACATCTTGGGCTCTCACTGTATATTTTTTTCTGATGTATATATATTTTTCCTGTGAACTCTAAATTGAGGAAATCTGTTCAAATGCTTATTTTTCAGAAGAGCAATACAATCTTAACAAGAATCATTGTTAATTTTGCTTTTTTTCATGAAGATGTGTTTAGTATGAGAGTGCTGGTGCCTCACCTAGCAAACAGAATATGTTACACAGCACCACACTTGCTATAGGCAAAAAGCTTGTGATGCAGGTCATATGTTCCCTCAGCTTGGATGGAAATGAAACAGTTGATTGGTTCTTAAAGAGAACATTTCAACATAAACATTTTTGAAAATTGCTTGACATTTTTACACAAATGAAGATTGAAGTCTGCTATAATAGATTCTGAAGTTCTTCAAAATTAATGTATCCACATATTTTTCAAACTTAAACCATGGCCATCATGTACTCCATGCACATGAGACATCTATAATAAGTGCAGTAATAAATGTAGTGTGCTATAAATGCACAGATGTCACTTGTGCATCTAGTACAATGTTTCCTTACTGCTACTTCACGCCTTTCAAAGTACAGTAGTGTACATTTTATCATTTCAACTCATATGCAAAGAAAATTACCATTTCATTTTCCACAAACTTTGACTTTGGATCCATAAAAATAAAAAAGTTCAACCAATGAAAAAATGTAAACAAATTCAATGTATGAAATGGCAATTTTGAAATTCTTGTGGATTGAAATCCATGCAGGTCCAGATGTTTACTATATAGGAAAGACATAGCAATTTTTTAAGCGAGTTATTTTTTTATTTCCTTGGGGGTTTTAAGGCAGGTTGTTTCTTGGAAATAAGGACCACTGCATGTGTATGTGGATAGTAAAAATCCAACGCTACAAAATTTTTCAGTAGGTTTTCTATAGGAAAGCAGCATTATAGCTTTTTCAATACATGCAATGGTCAGAATAAAAAAAAGGTTCACATTCCAAGGCTGTTTAAAAATTGTGAGGAAAACCATGTAATGGGACACTTTTTTTTTTCCTCCAGATGAATTCTAAAGTCTTGAAATACGGAATGACCTGTAGAAAAAAGCATGATTGATTCATCCATGTTGACATTCACCAATTAAATCAAAATTGCAGCTGTAAGAAATTTGTCCTGCATAACAAAATGTCAATAGGAAATCCTTATGAGAAGCTGTGGATCAATTAAATGAGTTAGTGGAATCAAACACACAATTAGCCTGGGATAGGGACCAGGAATTCTTGGGGGAATCCCTGAGTAAAAATTAAATTTTATTTTGAAATTGGTCATAACAGTAAATTGTTAATGAAATATATAAGCAGTCAAGATAATTATAGGTACTACAAAAGCCTCTCATCAGCAAGCTCACTTCTGCACACAACTGTTCTGAAAGAGAGCTATAAAAGCAGACTGAATATAAATTTGTGAATATAATGCTTTTTTATTCCTTTGATGTGACCTTGATCCAGTGATGAATGTGATAGATCAGGCAATTTTAGAGACCTGGGATTGGCCAAGAAAATCAAAGTCAAAGACTTAATGATGGCATTAAAGGAAGAGTGACATTTTGGGGATGGGGAAAAGTGTTCCCATTTTGCCAGAGTTTTTCTACTTTTTTTAAAACCTCAATTAATGCAGAGCCAGTCCCAAATAACAGGGCCAGCATACTGTATTCTTATGCAGTTTAGTGTAGGGGAACCTTTTAAAGATTCCCTTGAAGATTACTGAAAATTAATTATTCTTGGTTAATCCTTTAATGGGGCTGAAAGGAAAAAGACAGGGTTTTCTAGAACTGAGAAATACACTTATATGTTACTACAGGTAGTCTTTCTCTACAATGAAACTCAATGGACTAGAAAAAAATTTGTTATAGAGAACCCCCAACAAAATTGGGAAAGTACCCTAAATGGGACCAAACATAAAATTTGTTAGTCAGCAGAGAAAATCATGCTAGTTTATGGAGAGTACACCTGTATCACAATTTAGGAGCAGTTCATTGACAGTTTCTTTGCCTTCTACACATTTAAAGAACTTCTTGAATTCAATTTTAGAGGTTGCAAGAGGATTATAATATAGGTCAATGAAGGTCCTGTCTAGCTTACATTACTCATGGAACTACAGTATGTTGAACCATATTCCATCCCACAATGAAGTAGAATTGTACCCAAACCTAATGCAATATATTCAACCTCAAGGTGAAACCCCAATCCACTTATGGGACTCAACCTTCACTTCATTCCACTCACTGATTATATAAACAAAAAAATTGAATTCTATTTATTCAATCAAGAGCTAAAAAGGTAACTGCTGGGGAGAACCCATAAACCATTTTTAAATGCACCAAGATTCGCATATATAGTGATGAAGACCAAGGACTCAACCAAGAATCCTTGCTTTTGTATTCTCAGTCCATGCAAACAAGTGGTCGTGAAAAAAAATATATATACATAATTCCGATCAGTACAGAGTAAAAAAA